TTACAACGTCAACGTCTGCGCAGCAAGGGGAATAAACAAAAGATAGATTATGCTCGTCGTGACCGCGTCGAGAAAACGAAACACAACGCAACGAGATTGTTCCTCCGTTTTGAATCGTTCGACGTTGACCGCGCGAAACGCAACGGTTTTGCGTACGTTGGGTTACGCAGTATACAACGCTAACAACAACGATGAACGACGTACTCAACATCGGTGGTGAACCAGTCTTCGACGATCGTATCGTCAAGATCGAGACTCACACGTACAATCCGTACGCCAATACATCGTTTAGTCACAACGACGAGATACGCATACCCATTCAACAACAAGATGTTTACACTCTACCATCCGACAGTTACTTATACGTCGAAGGAAAGTTCAGTCTGCAAACCACCGCTGGAGCTGCGGAAGGAAGCGGTGCGGTTGCCACCGCCGCCGTGTTGACGAACAATTGCGTGGCTTTTATGTTTGATGAGATCAGATACGAGCTCAATGGTGTGGAAATCGATCGAAATCGCAACCCTGGTGTAACGAGCACGTTAAAAAACTACGTGTTTCTAACCAGTGAAACGGGGAACGTTCTGCGACATGCCGGATGGAACCTATCCACCAATAAAGGTGCTGGTGAGTTCAATTTTTGTGTACCTCTCCGCACATTGCTGGGATTCTGCGAGGACTATAAACGCGTTGTGATCAACGCGAGACACAAACTCGTTCTGATACGATCGCGCAACGACAACAATAGCGTCTTTGCTTCGGCTAACAGCGGACCAACGGTGGAATTGCACAAGGTGCAGTGGCGAATGCCGCTGTGTTAAACGATGTGAACAAATTGAAGCTGTTGCGCACTTTGGAAAGCGGTCAATATTTGACCATGGGTTTTCGCTCGTGGGATCTGTACGAGTATCCGCTGTTACAGAGCACAACGTCTCATTCGTGGGCTGTAAAAGCGGCGACACAGTTGGAAAAACCGCGTTACATCATTTTTGCGTTGCAGACCGGTCGAAAGAATGTTGTCAGCCGAGATTGCTCACGATTCGATCATTGCAACTTATCCAATGTAAAGTTGTTCCTAAATTCGGATTTCTATCCCTACGACGATTTGAATCTAGATTTTGGTAAGGAACGATACGCCATTTTGTACGACATGTACATCAAATTCAGACGATCCTACTACGGATGTGACGAGGACGAGTCGCTTCTAACGTTGGACAAGTTTATCTACTGCGGACCGCTCGTAGTCATCAACTGTTCGCGCCAAAACGAAACGGTCAAGAGCGCCACCGTTGACGTTCGCATTGAATTCAACTGCAAAGAAAATGTACCCACCGATACAACCGCGTACTGTCTGGTTATACACGATCGTATCGTCGAATACAACCCGCTGACCAGCGTCGTGCGACGTATCGTTTAGAGCAGTCGTCAGTCGCGTCCGAACGGTCAACGATGTCGCACGCTTTGTCAACGTCGACAACAACGACGATGTCCACCATGCTGCGTTCCTCGGTGAGCATACCAATATTCGTGGATCTCCAAGGTTTTATGATTAAAGATAACAACTTTATAACTAAGGAAGCGGCGATACTTCGGAACGGACGCGACCTGATTCACCATGTGTTTCGAGAACCTATGTCGTGGAACCTGTTGACAAAAGCCGAGCAGACGCGAGCGTGCTGGCTCACGGTCAACCATCACAGCCTGCACTGGACCGATGGAACGGTGGAATATCAACGCTTGAAGCCAATGCTTCGAAACGCTCTGTCAAACGCACCGAACAACGGATCTACACTAGTGTATGTAAAAGTTGTCGAGAAGAAGCAGTGGTTGACAAAGATCGTTGGTGACGTCCTCAACGATTGTGACCTCATTATCGAAACCATCGACTATGAGGACATCGAAAGTCTGCGAAATCTTCGCGAGTTTTCAACTGCGGAAACCACTCGAGAAATTGCGCTATGGAGAACGTGTGTAAACTATACGCGTGGTGGTCAACACGATACGTTGAGCGACCTGTAGCTTTGTATTGTTTCTTAACTATATATTCATTCTTTGAATTAAAAAATTGTTATGTATAGTGCTCTATATATTCATTCTTTAAATTAAAATAATATATATTTTATTATATATATTGTTATATATTGTTACGTCCTGAGCCTATGGTTACGGTCGGGCATTAGTGGTAGTACGCAACAGACGCACTGTCACATTCAAGCGAACGTGATATCTATCCCGGCACACTGACACAAAGAAGGAAGTCAGGGATGCGCGGGTCGAGCGAGACAGTTCGGCAACGCAGACAAACCAACGGGGTTACCCGATTTTCTCCGTCTAACGTGTTCTCACTCGTCGGTTCCTTTTTAGGTCTAAGACGCAAGTCTCAATTACCAAGGACGGAACCACCTTTTTAACGAGGAATGAACGGGTTGTTAATCGAGTGTGGTTTACTAGTAGTAGTTTGTTAGTTAGACGAGGTCCATAAGAGTTAAATTAATTAAAGCCCGATTTTGTTATGAAAATATTAACATAATCGTTTATTCAAATAGATTGGTAAAAACAATAATAATAATAAAGAAAACATGAGTAGACTCCGCATGAATTTGCTTTAGATAGGCACGTACAATTCAGGTGCGACGGTTCGTGTTTTATATCGATTATTATTAGAGAGATCTCCGCGTATAGTTACAAGCGGCAGAATGGTTTGTTGTGACATCGAGATTATTGAGCTGGATTGAAGTTAACAGAAAATCTTAAGTCCGGAGTGTTTTAACGAGAAATCTTTTCCTTTCAAAATACACTGACACTAGTTAGTTACGGGTCGTCGGTCGGATCCGTCTCCGCAAGAGATCGTAAAATGAGAGGGTCTATTGTTCGGAAGATTCTATTTTAACATAGGCGCTGTTCATTTGACTATGAGTAGCAAATCGAGATAATCAGTTAAGAGTAAATCACTATCATTGAATTATAGATTGGATAAATGTTCACAATTGTTATTACGGTACTCGGAATCATTACATTACGTTGTGTATCGAGAATTAGAATTGGTTGTAAGAATTAATGATCTTGACTGCTGCTCATATCGAAATGCAAAAGATGTACGAATCTGTACTAATGAGACTTACAATGTACTCGGTGATATACTTGGGTGATAGCGATGGTGGAAATTGGCAAGGTTGCTCGGTGGTTGATCGCAGCTGTTTCGCTTGGATCCACGCTGCTCACAGATGATCGCCAGGGAAGTCGGCGGGACCCTCAGCAGGTTCAGCGAAGGAGAGGTTTGCGAAATTTCTTTGATTCGAATTGACTGACCGATTGATCGTTAATCACTGACTTTATCGCGAGAAGCTATTTTCTGAAGATCGAACTGCGTGCTGATTAGTTAATGCCAGAACAAAGAATGAATAACGAATGCAAGAATGAACGAATAATAGTGGCTGCTCGAATAATAATGACTGCTCAGATAATAATGAATGCTCGGGTAATAATGACTTCTCGGATAATAATGAATAATCGATCAAGGATCCAGGGCTTTTTATACTCGCGGGTTGATCTCCCCTTCTCCATCGTCTTTTCCCGAAATTTCACCCCCTCGTTCGTTGACCGCCGGGGCAAAGACCTTTTCTTCTTTCGTTCGATTCTCCGGATCGATGGGATCATCGCTTGTTTAGATCTCGCTTATCGGTACGTGCCCTATCTTGTTTATGTCTGCGAGTCGCGACTCTAGCCTCCTGATTTACGACTTCCTTTCTAGGGTTACGAGAGCTGTGACGGTTGCCGGGAATCGCGAGTGTCCGCGCTTCTACAAGGGGCTATTGTCCGTTAAAAATTTCCTCTCAAGGGTCGATAAGGTTTGTTTATTAATTCAGGTGTTCTAGGCTCGATCGTGTATTGTGCGTTGTTTGGCGCGAGACTGTCTGTCATATGTCGTCCAGCCGGGTTTCGTTTATAATATGGCAGCCGGTTCGGACTTGTCTATCTTCTCCCGGCTGGCTCTCGTTTCCCTTTCCAGGAACTCGTTACAAGGATTATTTCTTAGGATTATTGTTAGACTTATTAATTATATTCCGTTGCAAAATGAAAGAGCCCGTGGAGTCCAGGACGTAACAATATATTGTCCATTTATATGTCGCTATATGTGTATGAATAAAGACATGTATTTACATATATTGTAGTGTGTGTGTGTGTGGTTTGTTCATTTTTCTATACAATTATTTATTCTTATGATCTATAATTATTTTATGTTTAGGGAAGTATAAACACATATGCTCTGACGTGTCTCTCTCTTTTAGTTTTGTTTATTCACATTTTTTATTGTTTTTACATTAATATCTATTGTTACGTCCTGACCCACGGTTATGGTGTTCGGTGGACGCACTATTCGCACTCGCACTTGCACTTGCTTATTTTGCTCACTGAAGTCGGCTCCTTTCAAACACGCGGCGTGGTTCTTTCTGAGTTTTCGATTCCGAGAGCCCTGGCTTATATACTGTTTTAGTAAGCGAGGACTCTTCCAATCGG